AACTGGAAAATTCAATGATTAAATTTACTAATGAATAACTTTGCCAGGTATATTACAATGACGTTTTACCAAATTTAGCCGTAAAACAATCAATTATGTTACTGGAATTCATAGTAAGCACTCACAGTGAGTCCGGATTAGTAGCAGAGTTCACTTTGGGAAATATCTATTCAAAGTCCTTAGAAGAAGTGAGGTGACAAGAAGTAAGCTGAATAAATTGACCAGATATCGCAGATATATACTCACCCAGATACTCAAGGAGTGAATTTTTAATAGGAATTCAATGCCAAATGTGCAAAAATATAGTTTTAAATTTGCTTCAGTATGTACCGTTCAATTAGGTCATCCTTATCCAAATGCGCATGAAAGCCGCTCTTGACAGATGCACTACGTCTGGGTCATAATCTATCACAAGTTTCACCCCCCCCAACCCCCCCCCCCTCCCACCACCTCCAAATACTGGCTGCATTAAACTAACAGAACTTCATGCACATGTAGCTTGCAATAAGTCTATAAATTGCCCGAATTAAAAAAAGGCATATTTCTTCTCTATATTTGGGTCTATATGGGCCTACCTATATCTAGTTGGCAGATTGAACATGGAGGCAAAGACTAGACCGTTTAACACGGTGTCATCGTGGAAGTATTTTGTTGTACTAAACCACTTAAGAGTAGGAGAACAAACGAATGCCTCTGGAATTCAAATAAAGTCAGATATTTGAAATGGTGTCCTGACTTATTCCTTTAAGAGGGTTTTCTTTGTCATGCACCTTTCTGTTTATCGTGGTACAGGTTAACTGCATGCCAGAAAACAAGAATTTCTTTTAAGATGACTATCATCAACTCGCATGAAGGCGTGTGTCCAGGGAAACCATTTTCATAGGAATAATTTAAGCTCTTAATTGTATTTTCATAATGACTCAAGAATGATTTTTACGGTTTACGATACTATGTTATAACTGTTACAAATAGTAACAAATATGTGTTTGACCTAATTTTGGATAAATATATGATTTATTATTCGAACTGTGTGTTTATATCAATGCTGAAGAAACTAATTTGCACATAATTGCCATGTGGTTTGTGAATTCGATGCCTAACAGAAGGAGTGGCCTACAATGAAAGCACTGTATTTCCATTAGTTGTGTTTTTGGAAAATCATATTCAAACAACTAAGTAGAAAGTTGAGATCAGGGTGGTGGAAATCAATATCTTGCTGCAAGATATTGAAGGAGGAGAACTAAGAAAAGAAGAAAAGAGGCAGATTGGAGGGATATTGCCATAAAAGAGTGACTAAGTGAGGAGTCTTAATGGCCTGAGGGAGATAAGTTAGAGAAGGTGGACCTAGGGTGCCGTATTATTCATCACTTCAAAGTAAACAAATAGGAATCGGTTGTTTTGGAAATGGCTTAGGGAATATTGATACTAATCTGGCCAGCTGATGCTTGAATGGAAGTTGGCTAAATGAGAGGGGGGTTTAACCATGCGATTCAGTATTTTACCTCATTACTACCAAACCCTGTTAGGCGCATAATGACTCCTTACCAAAAGTCCTTCTGAAAAGGAATTAACAATTGGTACGCATCTCATTAAAGCCTTCTTTGTCCTTTCAAGAACTACTTCCTTAACTGCCAGTGTTTGCTTGAAGTTGGCAGCTCCAAACCTGGTCACCTGAATCGAATTCCTTCGACATTTTGAAAGGAAAACCAACATCGCTTGATGGCTGACAAAGATAAAGACTTCTTGAATAATCTGCCTCACCAATGACTTGTATTAGGTTTCACCTATTGTGCTCATTATTGTCTTCTTCAGTGTTGTGAGAATTGTGATCAATAAAAGATTCCCAGGTGGTCTACTTTTCATTTAACTTCAAGCACTGAGCAATCACATTGTTAACACTGAACATAAGGGTGGGTATCCAACACGAGCATTAGCCACACTGTTGTGGCACTTTATGATTTATGACCACTAAAATCCACTCGATTCATCATTTGGTTCTCCCATACCACACTACTCCAACAACACCCAAATACAAAGAATGATGCTCTCGTCCTAAGACGTATGTCTGTCCACTGATTGGTCAGTCTAAGTCACTTCCCACTTCCATTAATTCGTACTTGTGAGTGGTGTTGAGTAGAAGAAGGGAAAGAGAAAGAATTTGTCGTTGTAGCCATAGTTACACATAGGCGTGGTTCTTGCAATGTCAACAGATTTTTTCTAATTCATGCAGTACCTTTCTTCATTTTTTGGTTTCCAGGGTCATGTTTGCGCAATGGAGACAACTAATTCGTAAATCAGAATTGAGGCTTTCGGTCTGTCCACAAATCGTACTGCCAGATTCACCTCGCTTACTTGAGTCACACCAACGCGTCCACAAACGCACACAACAAATGTTTGCTTTCATCAGTGGAGGTTTAGCGGTTGCCTCCTCGACAAATGGTTTGGTCACTTTTCTTCTCCTTATCTCAAGATAGATTAGTTTGATGCATTTTCGAGTTTTTAATGATCTACAAAGGCGGACTAAGAAGGTTTTATACGTTTGAAGTGAACCCCTGTCGATAAGATTGCTTCCAAAGTCCACTACTAAAGAGAGTGAGGGAGTAGTGTCGAAGGGGGGGTTGATTTTTTAGATAGTTAATTTACTTGATGTTGGTTCTATGAGAATGTTGCACCTGAGCATTCACGACAACGGTTTCGATACTTCTTGTTCACTTCGAATTAAGGAGCCTTTCTTTCTCCTGCCTTAATTATTTCTTGTTCAATGCCATGCATATATCAGGGAATTACGAGTTTGCCCATTTGACTGCCAACGTGGTGTGCAATCCCAGCGTTTCGGTTCATGGGGACTCTGGTTCCTATAGGGATAACATTTTTGAAGATCGTCAAAATATTAGTTGGAAATATTTATATCTTTGTTAATAGATTGTTTTATGTATTCTTATCATATTAACAGTAATTCAAATTGCAAGTAGATCAATATCAAATATTAGCATATAAACCGGTATGATATTTGACTGTCTTGGGTGTGCAACTTATATTCATACGGCAAAAAAAGTCTATAAACTGGCAGTTGACTTCTGGCTTCAAACTAACATGACACTACTGTATGTCATATTCAGCCACTTCAAGTACTCATATTACCTTTTCTCTGCCTTTGTGTCTGTCTGTCTCTCAAACATCTGTGAATCATTCTTCTGTTCCCCCCCCCCGCATTTTTCTCACTTTGACGTTCCTTCCCTCTGTGAAGCTCGAAGTCGGCTAAATGACTAATGATAACTATCAAAACGCCTGCCATTTGAAAGAAATAAATAAGTTTTTGATTGTCTTTCGAGTATAGTATGTTGAATTATTATAATCCAACAGCCTGATTAACTATAGTCTAAAAGAAGGACATAGTAACTT